GTGCTGCTCCTGTGCCGGCCAGCAGAGCCCCGGCATCTCGTTGTCTGATGTGGTCCTTCATCCAGGCGTCTGCCGAGCATCCCCCTGCGCTAACCCTCCGTTTGGTACGGGCCACCCAGACCTCTCCGACGAGACGTCTCGTAAGAGGTTATGGTTACTCTATCAGAATTCACACCGGGGATGAGGCACGCTTTGACAGTTCATAGACCAAGTCCTATCACATGGAAAAGCGCTTTGGAGGTGAAGGGCTACCTATCTCCCGCAGCCCCTCCGATACAGCCAAACCCTTGCCCATGTCTGGAACTACAGCCAGCACCAGGCAGGAGAAGGTCCATCTCCCACACTCTGCCTCTGCACCTCCCGTCCGAGAGTTTTGCATGGGGCAGGAGCCTGCTCCAGACCTCACCGCTCCCAGCTTTGATGGCGTAGGCAGTCAGGGGCCTTCCCCCGTGGAAGGCCCTGTCAGCTTTCCTGCTTGGGTGAGAAGTTTGGGCCATTGTGTTTCATGCAAAGTTTGCACTGGAATTGACAGTTTGCACCGGTGAAATGAGATGATACTAGAAAGCACAGAGGCTGCTCCTACTTAGCTGTAGGCAGCCTAAGTCTCTCCTGAAAAGGACAGGAAAACTTTTCACCCAGTCGCTCATGACAGCTCCTCTATGGGCTTCCTTCCCTTCTCTGGGCTGCTAAGCATCTGCTGCCTTTCAGATGCACTGACAAGGAAGGGATGGAGAGGGAGGAAAGGAGCCTCGCACATTCTGCATTTCCTTTCCAGAAGCCTGTGAAGCTTCATTAAACATTGGGCCAGTCATTTTGTTTCTATGGAAACAAAATTATTACTAATATATTATTTTAAAAACAGACACACGATTGACACTCCAAATATAGAATTTTAATACCATTCTGCACCTGCCTCGTCTCTTAGGGCAGAGCGGATGCGAGGGTGGAGTTCACAAAGGGATGGGACTGGCGAGGGTGCCAAGTGGCGGTGGCAGCGGTGGGTGTTTGTAACCTGAGAGCAGGCACAGGCTGTCCGTCTGTCAGTCGTGCTCCCTTCTGCGGGTCTGTCCCACTCCTTTTTCCCCCACCAGCGTGGGGTGCCGTGTTTCCTGCCTGCTGGCGAGAAAGATGAGAATGCAAATTAGTGATCGGGTCCCGGGACAAAGGGAACACTTGAAGTTTTATTTAAAAATTGTGATGGCACTAAATGTTTTTGATGCTGTCTCTCATAGTTTGGGATCCTGGAAGGTCTGTGCCTCGCAGGCCTCAAGGGTCCTTTCACGCGGCGCCTGTTCTCCAGCCTGCAGATGCCAG